TTACCCCCAGGATTCTAGGGGGGGGTATTTACCCCCAGGATTCTAGGGGGGGGTAAATAACCCCAATAACCCCCCTTATTTACGCCACTGAACAAAATGTAAACATAGCAGACGAAACTCTTACAGATTACAGCTTTCTCAGTAGGTATCACTACACTAAATCAAAGAATTATTTGAAAAGACGATATCGAATTCGTCACTGAATTCCCATGTTTTTTGGGACACCCTGTATAAAAAAGCGAAATTGCGAAAAACATGTGACATTTTCGAATAATTGCGCAAATTGCTGTTTTTTCGCGCAGAAGTGTTACGCAACGAAAGAAATATTTTGCGTGTGTCGCAAAAATTGCGCACAAATTTTGCGAATGGAAACCCTGTAGGAAAAATACCCTCAAAAATATTAGTGAAATAAAATGAGTCTATTCGGTCAAAATTCAGAGATGTATTAAAAACAGTTAAAATTCATTATTGTCAACTTCTTTTCTTACTCGACTCACAAAATTGGCTCGAACAATGTCAGATTTTAATAATTCTATCCAACGATCTTCAAATTGAATTTTACTTTTGATTGAAAAGTTTCAATTCCCCCCCCCTTTACGGCCCCACTTGAATTGCCCTTGTTGTCTGGCAATTTCTTTTTTGTCTTTGATAAAAGTTGTTTCATTTGTAAAGAAACATTTTTCTATTACTGAATTGAAGGTAGTTTTTGCCACAAACTCAATTATTCTAATCCTTTTATCTTTGCAACCTGATGGTTTAAATATTTTATACTTTAAACTTGATATAATAGAATTCTAAGTTTAAAATATCAAAGGTCTACGACATTGGGTGGCAAAAATATAAAGATTAGAAGGTTTGAGTTTTTGTGACGAAAAAAACTAAACTTTGTTGAAAAAAATATATCTGAAAAGAACAGAAGAGTTTTTTGAATAAATGAGAACTAACAAAACTTAAACGAGAAAGCTTGCATTTGGCAAATTAAACCAGTTCACAGAAATTAAATATTTAAATCCAAGTTTATTGAGAGATGGCGCCACCAGGTCTGAAGCCTGATTTAAAGCCGGGAATCTGTCTCATGAAATTATAACATTTTATAGAAAAAATGATTGATTGATTAAAAGAGCTTACCGTATTGAAATACCAGCAATATTTGATCTTACCGAGATCTATATTTGATTTAAGTTCACTATCCAATTATAAGTTTTATAGGAACTAGGATTTAGAAATTTTTTAATTAAATCTCTTAAAAAATGTGAATAAATTGGAGAGAAAAAAATAACAGAAAAAAAAATTATGAAAAAATTAAAGGACGAAAACCATCAAAGGAATTGGGGGGATCGAACGCCCTTAATAATTGAAGCTTAAGTTTCAAGAATGATTTTTGTAATATTTTCTAGCTTATGTTTAAAAGGAGTAGTTCTGGAAAAATACTGCTCGATTTGTGCGTTAAAACGTACAAATCTTGGTTTGCAGTGAATTTGTACCAGGATTAATCAAGCCATGAAGGGTTGGTTCTATCCAAGACTTAGGGTTGGTCACGATCGTCCGGTGAACCAAAATATGCACGCTCTCAAGATTTTTCCAAATACTTCTTTTCAACTGAATCCTTCCTTAAACAAGAGCTTTGCAGTTTTAAAATGTATTTAGAAATATACAATTCAATATTTTAACAAAGTAT